GTCACAAGCCTCCCGGTTTTCATCCAAAATATCTTAAATTGTGTTCTGAAGACGAACAAAGCTTTTACGGGTTTGGAACGACATGGAGGTAAGTGATTAATGACAAAATTTTCATTTTGGGGTGGAGTATCCCTTTAATCATGTTACTTGTAAAATGAGACTAGTGTTAATTCAGAAATCGTTCTAATATGCTGATTTGCAACTCAAGAATAATTTCTTATTATCATCAGTGTTGAACACAATTGTGCGGCTTAATATTTGTGGAAAACATGGTCAATTTTCTTTCAGGATTCTTTGATAAATAGAAAGTTTATTTGAGTTTATTTGAAATGGAAATCTTTTGTGCCAAATTAAATTGTAATTGTTATTAAATTGTAATGTTTGAACAATTAATGTGTCCTTGTTGAATAAAAGTATTAATTAAAAAAAACAAACAAAACTAATTTACCCTGAACTTTTGAACAGTAAGCGCCATTAACAAAAACTCGAGCACCTCATTTCAGCTTTTAAGCCTCCAAAATGTCTCGACTTTCATGAAGAGTTCCTTTTTTTTTTTTTTTTTTTTTTGTTCACTGCCTAGTTTTTGTTTGTTTTACATACTGAGGCATGTGGTAATAATCAGCGTGTAGATGGTGTCAATAGCGTTTAAGCTGTATTGATACCATAACATCCTCTGACAAATTGTATTTAAGCACATTTGCACAAGATTGGATCACAGTTTACGTGGCCTGTGTCAACAGATGCTTTTGATGTGGGTTTATCTAAATGAATCAGCTGAATTTGCCAGTTACTGATGAATGCTGCAGCAGTAAAAGACACTAAACAGTTTCTGTTCTACCACTGAAAGCAAATGACTCATTAAGCAAAAGACCAAAATGACTTTTGAAAATGTGAGAAAAGTACTGAAATGGTTTCGAATTGAAATGTTCACACATTTCTGCAGATTTTTTATTAGAGAGCGGCCTGTGTCAGTGGCCCCCGACCCTGTTCGTACTTATTTTGTACCTACTTATTTTTGGAGACGTCTCTGAGCTGCCCGTCAGGACTGTAGGATTCAGTAATTGGTTTTCTGAGAGCTAAATAACCCAGAACCATCACTGTCAGAGGCGTTTAATTAACTCTCCCTCAGCATGAGCATTCATCTACAGTGGGAAGTGACCAAAAAAAACACCCAGTTTGTTTGTTGCTTAATAATTTCCAGTCTTTTCATTTATATTTTTCTCTTTCCATTCTAAAAGAGCATCATGAATTTTTAATAACAGGAAATGCAAAGCCAGATTTCCTTCCCCCGATCTCGTTTTTCTTTCGCAATTTTCCATGATCTTTTTTCTTTTTGCCCCCTCTCAGGAAACAAAAGATCAATTTTGTGAGAGCACAGGCTCCACCCCATTCCTCTTCAGTCTTTCTTGTAGCCACCTCGCACTAGTTTCTCTCTCTCGCTCTCCCATAAATGCAGTGACACTTGCATTCTGTGTGTGCATGCGTGTTTGTCTGAGTGAGAGAGTCGAAATAGAAAGTGAGGAAGCTGGGGGGGAAGAGAGGGAGTTCGAGAGAAAGAGAAAGACAAGGAGGGGTGAGTGCGCGTGTGTGTGCTTAAGCTAGCTACTCACAGAAAAGAAGGAATAAGAAAATTGAAGTAGCCGCCATATGCTGAGGATTTTGGTGAATGCCTTGCTGAGGAGACAAGCTCGTTTTTCCGGTGGATTCTAAGAGATGGGAAGCTCACATTTGCTGAACAAAGGCTTGCCATTAGGTAAATGTTTACCTTTCCTTCTGCATGGGGCCACACGTGAAAGTGTTGTACGGATATCTGCGGATATTTGAGCGTTCGCTCGGCTGTCGTACAGTATTCTGGCTTCCCCTCCCCCTCTTCCTTTCCTCCTCCCCTCCTCTCTGCTCCGCTTTTCCCTCTTTCCTATTATCTTTCATCTGAACCATTCATCCACGCACAATTGCTTGCTTTCTGCTTTCTCTTTCAGCATTCGTCCGAGAGCCGGGGCTACGGACCTCTTATGGCTCACTTTATTAACTGCATTAATCTTTCCGAGCTCCAAAGATAAAAAAAAAACACACACTATCCACTCTGGAAAATTTGAGGGGTTGGCAAGGACATGACTCTCTCTCTCTCTCTCCTATGGCCCTCCCTCACATTGTGCAGTGGAAATGTGGCTTCCAGTTCCGGCCTTGACTTACTTCCTAATTTCAGTCTCTTCGAAGGAAATTCTCATTCTAGAAGAGTCCAAAAGTGGGAATACTAAGAACAGGGTGTTTCAGGATTTCGCGGAAATAGTTACGGCATTCTTTTGCATTCTGCTAATGGGCAACTACTTAATATCTTAAAATAAACATGTATTCGTAAGATATTTCTGATCAGATGGACCAAAAAGTAAATTTTCATTGTCTTATTTTTAGGAGGAGATCGGCTAGTGAAAGTTAAAATCCCTATGAATGTCATTACAGTATTCAAGTGACTCCCTTTCCACCTTTTTGAAAAATCCCAAGTGCACACTTCCAGGAAATCTGGGTTGAGAACAATGCGTTGGCTTTCCACGAATTACAAAAAACAAGATTCACAAAACTCTGTGACGAGCAAAAGCGGGTCATTACAAAAACTGGGTTTTTTTCGCACGGTGAACGTGAGGCTGGGATTTGAAATTGGCTTTCATTTTTGCCAGAAGACAACAAAGGTGGGGGGGGATGTCAGCTTGAATTATCGCCCGCGGGCAGTCGAGGTCTTTAGACGCCGTGTGCGACTGACCCTGTTGGTTCTTGTTGCTATGAACTAGCTAATTCAAACAGATCCAGCTCACCCTCGGGGCAGGGCAATATGAACAGAGCGCCGAGGGATTTTGACAGAACGGTGTGGTGCGAGAAACTACCATGTGTTTTTTTCCAACGCAGGCATCTTGATTTACCTAACTGTGGTCTTACATGCAAAGACGGAGCAAAACAGTGCTTTTTCTTGATTGTAGCATTTGATCCCAGAGCTGCGTGCTTGCTTGGATGCATCTATTGCGTGTTGTTGGCAGTTTGTCCTAATAAGAAAAAAAGAGATAACAGTGGCTGTGTTACGAGATAACCGGATCCTGCTGGGATGGTTTAGATGTCACTAACACATAATTTACGGTTGTAAAAGTTCACCTTCATTACAAATGGAGAAAACAGCTGGTTCTGTGTGGGAACGGATGCGTGAAAGCCAGGGATCTCTTCACAGAGGTAAAGAGCTCTTGTTTGTGCATAAACATGTGTATTGTGTGTGTGTGTGTGTGTGTGTGTGTGTGTGAAAGACTATCCTGATTTTTAAAAATCGAATAGTCGAATAAAATCGACGAATCGTGACAGCCCTAATTTTCAGCACCATTACTCCAGTCTTCAGTGTCACATGATCCTTCAGAAATAATTCTAATATGCTGATTTATAATCAATGTTGTTAACAGTTGTGCTGCTTAATATTTTTTGAGACGTGATACTTTTTTTGCAGAATTTTTTGATAAATAAAAATTAAAAAAGAACAGTGTTTATTCAAAATAGAAATTTTGTGTTACAATATACTCTACTATTCAAAAGTTTGAGGTCAGTTAATTCTTTCTTTGTTTTTGTTTTTTTAAGAAATTAATACTTTTATTCAGCAAGGATGTGTTAAATGGATAAAAAGTGACAGTAAAGACTTATATTGTTAGAAAAGATTTCTCTTTTGAATAAATGCTGTTCTTTTTAACTTCTCAAAAGAATCAAAGAAAAAAGTATCACAGGTTCCAAAAAAAATATTAAGCAGCACAACATTTTCAACACTGATTATAAATCAGCATATTAGAATGATTTCTGAAGGATCATGTGACACTGAAGACTGGAGTAATTTGCATCACAGGAATAAATTACATTTAAAATATATCAAAATAGAAAACATTTATTTGACATTGTAATAGTATTTCACAATATTACTGTTTTTACTGTATTTTGTGTAGCTCCAGTGAACATAAGACACTTTTTTCAGATACATTACAAAAATCTTTCTGAACTTTTGAACGGTAGTTTACACATATACTTGGACTTTCCATTGACAAGTCCGTTGGTAGATGTTTTTTTAACTGACACTAGGCAGAATGCCAACTTCTGCTACTCAGCCCAGCAGCGCACTTATCACCAATGTCAATAGAGCGCAACAGTCACTGCCCACCTTTTCTGCAGCCTTGGTTCCGGAAGTATTTTTCCCATTCATTTTCTCCATAGGGACTTAAACCAACCAGCTCTGAGATGAATCAACATTACAAACACTGACTGAAAGCTAAAAATATGTGAAAACCAGAGACAAAGGCAGGACTGTGTATTCAACGTTTTTATAAGTGAATGAACTGCAGTCCCATGAAACACTGAAAGTGCTGTAATTGCGGAAAAAAACATTTTTTTTTTTTTTAAATCTATTATTTAAAAAAAATAAATATTATAATTTATTATTTTTTATTTATTATAAAACTAGTTAATTATCATTGATATTATACTTAATTTTAGGTTTATTCCAAAATATGAAAATATACCAATATATAAGTAGTTTGAGAGTGTAGTCGATTACATGATTCGCAGTGATTCATGGAAGCGGGCTGCCGCTGATAAGCCCTTTTGAAGTGGTTTTTATATGGTAGCATCAACATATTTTGGTCTTCAGTGGGAATTTGTCTTGAAGTTGATTAGCTTGACCAGTAGGGCTACACAATTCATTGTTTTAATTGTAGTTTTAGTATAACACTATAATAACATTTATATTTTTACTTTTTTTATAATTTAAAGAAGAAACCAATCCGATGTATAGTTGACATTTATCATTTAAGTCTGAAAATGTTGGTAGTCTTAGATCAGTAAATGTTGAGGAGCTTAAACAGCACAGTTTGAGGTACTGGCAGAAAATCAGATCCGCAGAAAGAAGCCCCACAGGTGTTCATGACTTTATTGTTACCCATCATCTGTGTTACATCAGCTGCGGTTACGTTAAAGGAACACTCCACTATTTCCAGACCCGGTTTTTGGCTGAATGGATTCGAAAACGGTAAAACTCAACTATTTAACTCTAGGGGAGTTGGAAAATGAGCCTATTTTCAAAAATAGTGGAGTGTTCCTTTAAGATCATTCATTCATTGTTTTCTCCTTTAAACTGATTCTCTGTGTATTTCATCATAATGCCATCAGTCCTCTTACAAAGGGATTGATATCAAGAGTCTGGCTGATTATATATTTACACGGAGTCTAGTTATCATACGTTATCACAGTTCTGTTATCATATAACCATTTAGCAAAATGTTACTGACTAGTAATTGACAAGTTGACATCATCAGTGTTCATAACACTCAATGAACATTTATTTGTAAGAAAGGTCTTGAAATAGCAGCATTAGTCCGTTTGATGTGTCTTTTATGAGTGGTTATAAAACCCACAACTGCTTTTTGTTTTACTGTAACAGCAGTTGAAAAAAACATTTTTAATATTGAGCAATAAAGCCAGGAATCAAGTGACTGCTAATAATAAACACTGTTGTCTTTTTCTGTGTTTTTGAGTCACTTTATTTTAAGAGTCGTTCCATTATATAACTAACCTTGGCATTCAATGTCTATGTGCATCCTTGAGCCAATAACAGTGAATTCCCTTTATCTATGCAGACAAAATTACATTTACAGTCAGCGCTCACAAGATCAAGAAGTGCAAGATGTGATTTCTGTCTCTCTGCAGGCATCAGGCCTCCCATAATGAATGGCCCCATGCACCCTCGTCCTCTGGTGGCGCTGCTGGATGGCCGGGACTGTACGGTGGAGATGCCCATCCTGAAGGACGTGGCCACCGTGGCCTTCTGTGATGCACAGTCCACCCAGGAGATCCACGAGAAGGTATCTAGCACTTAATGTCACTCGCTGTTTTGGCGCGGTAGCACTTTTCATTTTCGTTGTTGTGTTATTCTTGTTTTAAATTGCTTTGGATAAAGCATCGGCTAAATAAATTTAAATTTCACAGTTCAGAACGAAGCCAAGAATGTTCAAATGTAACTTTCTCCACCTTTGAAATGTCTTTTCCTTTCTTTTGGCTTAACCAAGATCGTGTGGGCAGAGAAAAACAACATTAACCAATAATATCTCAGCCTATTTTTTCACCAATACAATCCAGATGAATAAAACAAATTCCTGCTCATTAAAAGTTTCACTAAGGAATATGTCGCGTCACAGAAGTAAAATGCATTGTGAGTGCAGTTCATGTGTTTAAGATTTATTACGACTGTGTGGAGTGGTGTTTTTTCACCACTGGTTTGTACAGATTAATATATCATGTAATATATGTTAAAGTATGATTCTGCAATACAGCATAGAGCCCACTGGCTCGACGTGATGGAGCCTCTTTGGCTTTGTTACACGGAAAAAGAACTTACTATAACAGGCTAAAAAAGTATATTGCACAATGGGGTAATATTTATGAGGCTGTGAGGTTTTTTGCCAGAAATGAGTAGAATGATTCATTAGATGAATTCACTGGGTAGCGTGATGAAATCTCACAGCCATCTGATCCTTCCTACTGTACTGATTTATTTATTTCATTCTCAATCTCACTTGCTCGCAGCCACTGATCAATCATTTTCTTTAGCATTTGTTAAAGCTAGATGTGCGGAATCAGATCTGTCATGTTCTGATGTTTCGTTGTGAAAAAACTAATTTCTCTTTGTCAATCGTTAAGAATAAAGTGTGACTTGTTTCTCAGCAAATATCATGTAATATATGTTAAAGTATGATTCTGCAATACATCATAGATCCCACTGGCTCGACGTGATGGAGCCTCTTTGGCTTTGTTACACGGAAAAAGCACTTCATCTCACAGGCTAAAAAAGTATATTGCACAATGGGGTAATATTTATGAGGCTGTGAGGTTTTTTGCCAGAAATGAGTAGAATGATTCATTAGATGAATTCACTGGGTAGCGTGATGAAATCTCACAGCCATCTGATCCTTCCTACTGTACTGATTTATTTATTTCATTCTCAATCTCACTTGCTCGCAGCCACTGATCAATCATTTTCTTTAGCATTTGTTAAAGCTAGATGTGCGGAATCAGATCTGTCATGTTCTGATGTTTCGTTGTGAAAAAACTAATTTCTCTTTGTCAATCGTTAAGAATAAAGTGTGACTTGTTTCTCAGCAATGAACTTTATCTCTGACTCTAGTGTCTTATGGTCAAAAATAAAGCATAAACGAAAGACTTTTAGAATGCAATTTATAAAGACATTTATAATCTGTCTAATCTAATATATTCAGATAGAAATGTTCTTTTAATTTTAATAGTATTTCACAAAATTACAGTTTTTTTAGATAGAGAGAGAGAGAGCGATAGATAGATAGATAGATAGATAGAGAGATAGAGAGATGATAGATATATAGATAGATAGATAGATTTAATATTTTTCACACACACACACACATATATATGAAATATATTCAGATAGAAAAGCTGTTTTAATTGTACTAGTACTTCATAGTCATATATATATATATATATATATATATTTATTTGATGAAGTAAATTCAGCTTGGTGAGAATAAGGGACTTTCAAAAACATTTGCAAATTTGATCAACTCCAAACTTTTAAACAGTTGTGTATACTATAAATGTTTTGGTTATATTTAGAATATACTTCATGTGTATAATTATACTTTTGTTCATTGTTAATTCATGTTTGCCCCAGTGAAAAATAAATATACTTAAATGTATTTGATATACATTTATTTCATACTAAGTATACTTCAAATACATTTTCATATTTATGTACTTATTAAAATGCGCTGCAATTGTACTGTTAGTGTACTAAACTAGTATACTTAAAGTCTGCTAAATTGGAACAGCTAATTTTGTACTTAATGCATTTTAATTGTGCGGAAGTAATGCTGAAGTCCAATTATAGGCATAATATATTTGATTGTGCTAAAGTGGAACTATTGCAAGAATACTTCAGGTGCACTTTAAATATCTTGCATTTAAAGACCGATTATTATTCACAATCCTCATCAAAAGTGACATTAAACACATTTGAGGCTTATTAATAAGAAATATGCATTGTGCACAAGTAATACTCCAAATAAAGTTTAATTCAAAATTTTTATATCAGTAAGTCTCGAGTTATTGGTCAGTAAATTTGTTAATAGATTTGAACTATACTTAGTATGAAATAAATGTTTTTTAAATATATTACTTTTTTTTACTAGGGTGTTAATAAGACATTAGGTAATGTTAAGTTATACAACTTCGGATGTTGAAATGAACATTAACCTAGATTAATAAATGCTGTAAAATGTTGTTCATTGCTATTTCATGTTCGCTGTTGCATCAAGAAATGGTAATGTATAGAACCTCATTGTAAATTTATAAAAATAGACATTTCTATATACAAATTATATGTAATATAAAATGTAGTTAACGGTTTAATACTTTGTAATCAAGCATAGACAATTACAATTTCAGTTAGAAGAAATACATCCGGTGTTATTTGCTTGCAATATGCCAAATCTGAAGGATACAATAAAAGAAATAAAATGCTACTTTTGGCCAGTAGTGGGAAAAAGCACTATTGACCCATATAAGTGCATGTGGATCAAATACAACAGTATGGAAAAAGAGCAAGTGCACCGTTTGATAGTGTGTTCATACACAGAGGAAAGTTGATTTTCTGCTGTCAGTATTATCAAGAGTAACAGTTTTCTTTTTCACTCTACCCATGAACCTAAATGAAACTCATTTGCTCCATTCATTCAACTGGCTACACACGAAAGACCAGCCGTCGCAGGCCACCATAAATCATTCACTCTCAGTCTCAACCCGATTCGCTTAATTCCATATCATATAAACGTTAGCTCCCTCTCGATGCATTTGTGCTCCTTCAGAGCGTGGCTGGGGCCCGCACATTTTTTCTGCTGATTTGTCGATTGCTGTTGGCATGTTTTGTGTGGTTCTGGGTGGCTGCCAGGTTGATTCTCAAAGAACACTCCCCAGGCCTGCACAGACAGATGGCACTCCCTTTCTGCCCCTTCCCACAAACCTACAAAGAGCCTCCTTATTTGACTGCTTTAACCGGCCGCTGTTGAATGGACAGAAACTATACAGAGAAAAGAGCTTCTGATTAGATAGAAAACCAATCGTCTATCTGGGAGAGAAATTATTAGCGGATGATAAAGTGACGGGAAAACTGTCTACTAAAAATGGCTGTAAAAATCTCTTGAGTTTCATTCTCATAAACAACACTGATTGCTTAATGCGGTGATTTTTCTTGATGGGTGTCAAATCGAATGATGTTTTTCATCATCAACCCCAGTTATAATGTGACAAATCTGTTTATGTTGTGTGTTACTCCAGATCTTGATGGTTTATTAGATTATGTCAAGTGTTTTCAAGTAAACTGATTAATCATCATGAACCCTTTGTTAGTGAAGTTGCACAGTGAAGTTATTGTTTTTGGTCATCAGCAGAAAACTAAATATGTTGAGTCATATTAACAGCAAAGCATGTTGCAGGCTTTTAGTGTTTGTCATCATATTTCCTCTAAAGAGTTTTCCTCTACCTCAGGACTTTCTAATCAGATTAACAATGTAAAAACATGATCCTGGAGTGCATAATTCGCTCATGACAATAAAACACATCCCCACATTCTCATTGTCAGGGTTATTATTGTTTTTATTATCGTCATTTTAGCTAGTTGCCAAAGTAACATTTCTCAGTTAGCTTACATTTGAAGTAAAATAACTAAAACTAAAAAGTAAATATGAATAAATCTATATAGACATGTTAAAAAAAATGGCAAAAAGGACAACAAAATTAATATAAAAATATACAAATTATAAAAAATACAATTAATTAAATCATAAATTGTTTCTGAACTTTCCAATATGTGTGCAAATAAAAATGCAAACAATAATATAATATAATATAATAATATATTAATTAAATATAATTATGTCTGACTGTGATTCTGTAGGACTGGGAGTGAGCCCATATCAATGCAGCTAGTTTTTGAAATGAATTCTTTTGAAATCTTTTGTAATGATCTCAAGTCAACTGGATTAATGTCTACTCGTATGAAAGTGTAGTAGAACCTGGAATCCTGAAATTAATTTCATTGCAGCTTCTTGACCAGGGTGAAATCGGTCCAGTCTGTGATGCTATGCATATTAATACTATATTTTGAAATAACAATAATGAAATAACTCACACTGTGAGCATTTGAATATTTTAATAAATATATAATAGAGAAAAAACGAATTTTAAGGAGCATTGCACATGACATATATTTATATATGTTGTGGCCATGAATTAGGAATTCATTACCATCATGACTTATTAATTTGTTCCCTCATTTCAGTTAAATTGTTGCCCCATATTAAGAATCCATTCCCTTGTTTTAGTAAATTGTGGGCATATTGTACTACTTTGTTCTCTCATTTTAGTTAAATCAAAACCAGGGAATGGATTAGTACAACATGTTTATGATTTACTAAAACGGGGTAACAAATATCTATGTTGGGGGAACAAATTCTTAATTTTTATATTTTTGTCCTCGTGTCATGTGCGAGGCTCCAGAGATTTGTACTCCTTGTACTTTCACTCAGTTTGAGAGCTGTTCTACTTGTGACTGTCTTCTTTGCACAGACTGACTGTACTTTGTGTCCACTCTCTCAGGTATTAAATGAAGCAGTGGGTGCTCTCATGTACCACACCATCACCCTGATGAGGGAGGACCTGGAAAAGTTCAAAGCACTTCGTATAATTGTCTGCATTGGGAGCGGCTTTGATAATATCGACATCAAGTCTGCTGGAGACTTAGGTAATGGTTAAGAAGGTTTTCTTTTACATCCCACACATTGCACAACAGTGTGTGTGTGTGTGTGTGTGTGTGTTTGCTGTATGAAGAGTCTGACCGTAACCCATCCTCATCCGCAGGAATAGCAGTCTGCAACATGCCAGCAGCTTCCGTCGAGGAGTCCGCAGATTCCACCATGTGTCACATCCTAAACCTGTACCGACGCACCACCTGGCTGCACCAGGCTCTCCGGGAGGGCACGCGGGTCCAGAGCGCGGAACAGATCCGGGAGGTCGCGTCGGGGGCAGCCCGGATCAGAGGAGAGACGCTGGGGATCATTGGCCTAGGTGTGTTGTCTCGCATAGCCAGACGTTTGACTCTCGACATGAAGTCTGATCCACTTCGCTGTGTATTCTGGCCAAGAACCGCCCACTTAGACAGAAAGAGATCCTCTGAACGAGATATAAAGTAACCAGCTGCCGTTTGTTTTGTTTTTATGTGCTGTTTAGGGGTGAGTAAATTTAAATACATTGATTCAGACAGAAAAAACCCCCAAAACATTTGAAATTCTATTTATGGAGCCACCGGTGGCTATGAAGATAACAGAGAGGAAACTATTGGTAATGTGTGTAGACTATGTGATCTGCATTTCTGTAATCATTACAGAATTCATCGCTCAGCAATAAGGATTTTTTTTCTGCTGGTCTGTGGACTTCTGCAGCCACTAAAATATTTATTTATTTATTTATTTTAGAAGAATGAACTGTAATTTTTAGCAATTTTTTTTTCATTAAATGTTTATTTTCCTTACAAAATATTTTTTCTTCACAATGAAATTGTGATACAATTCACGATACAAATCGTTGCAAAGCAACTTTACAGCAAATTAAGTTTCTACAATATTTAGTGGTAGCTTATCAGTGGTGACTGTCAGTATTTATTAATTCACCATTTGTAAACTGATGTTTACTGTTCATTTTTTAGAAATATCAATAGCATTTGTATTAAAACTATATTCACTGAATGTAATTAAAAATCGAGAATCGAATCGAATCAAATCAAATCGGGAGCTTGCGAATCGAAATCGAATCGGGACATCTGAATCGATACCCAGCCCTTGTAAGGACTCATAGTGTAATATTGGGACCTTTTAAATAAATTTTTCCCCCCAGGCTGTAGGAAAAGTAACATAACTACACACATTTTAATGAAACCTGTGTTTTCTTTTTTTGTAGAATTGTCATTTTGTCATGACAGTGACAGGCATTGAACTAATGTGATACAAAAAAAGTCCTTTCATTCAAGAGATATGTCTGCTCTCAGGGCGTGTTGGACAGGCGGTGGCGCTGAGGGCCAAAGCATTCGGCTTCAACGTGATCTTCTACGACCCGTACCTGTCTGACGGGATGGAGCGAGCCCTGGGGCTGCAGAGAGTCAACACCCTGCAGGACCTGCTCTTCCACAGCGACTGCGTCACCTTACACTGCAGCCTCAACGAGCACAACCACCATCTCATCAACGACTTCACCATCAAACAGGTGCCGCCTGCAGCCACTCACAAGCAAAAGAGCATGCATGCGCTGGAGCCACAGCTGTGTATCATCATTACTGTGTGTTGATCGTAGATGCGTCAGGGCGCCTTCCTCGTGAACACGGCGCGTGGCGGTCTGGTGGATGAGAAGGCTCTGGCCCAGGCTCTGAAAGAGGGCAGAATACGGGGAGCAGCCCTGGACGTCCATGAGACGGAGCCCTTCAGGTGAATATCAGCAACATGTGATGTTTAAGAATCGTGTTGTTTTGACATTTGGATGGATTGCTTGCTCCAAACGGCGCGTGGCGGTCTGGTGGATGAGAAGGCTCTGGCCCAGGCTCTGAAAGAAGGCAGAATACGGGGAGCAGCCCTGGACGTCCATGAGACGGAGCCCTTCAGGTGAATATCAGCAACATGTGATGTTTAAGAATCGTGTTGTTTTGACATTTGGATGGATTGCTTGCTCCAAACCACATTTCTATTCCACACCCTGCCTTTTTTTCGCATTGTTATTTGGCTTCAAACCCTACAAAACATGAGTCTGTTTGCTACAAATATCTGCAAAGAATGCGAGTTGTTTCCCAAAGGCAGTTTCAAAGGAGACAAGCAGCAATAAGAAATGACGCCATAAATAGTGGTTCACTTTTGAAAATGAGGTTAAATTGCTCTCATTTCTCAATTGTGAAAGCCAGTGTTATTTTAGTATTGTAGTAAGTATATATATTTATTATTTTAGTATGTATATACTATTATAATTTTTTATTAATATTTTCTATATATTCAGTTTTCGTTGTCATTTCAGTTTAATTTTTAGTAATTTTTTGTGCTTTTGTCATTTTATTAGTGTTTTTTAAATATTACTATTTATCTTTAATTTGTTTTTAATTTCAGTTTTTGTTTTGTTTTATTTAATTTCAGTGCTTCAGCTTATTTTAGTGATAATTAGGGCTGTCAATCAATAACATTTTTTAATCTAATTAATCACATCCTTTTTCTGTGATTAATTGCGATTAATCGCACACTTCATGAATCTGTAATCAGTAATGAACTACAATTTGTAAATAATCTGCCCAGCTGTGTGTATGTAAATATATATATATATATATATATATATATATATATACAGG